GGGACTAACCTATTAACCGGAGGCCCAGCCCAGATTTGTTGTTTTATGCCTATTTCAGTGTTTGGAGGAAAAGGAATATCAGATGGAGTCAAAACGGAACGAAATCAACTGGAGAAGTTAATTTTGGAAGGAAACCCACCTGATAGACTTGGAGTGCATGTCAAGGGAGTCCCGGGCTGCCCACGAGGGAGGGGGCGCGCCCTCCCCCCCTGGGTGTGCCCCCTGCCTCGTGAGCACCCCGGAGGTCCACCGACGTACCCCTTGCACCCATATATACCTACGTACCCTAAAACTTCCAGAACAGAAGATAGGTCGGGAGTTCCGCCACCACAAGCCTCTGTAGGCACCAAAAACCAATCGGGACCCTGTCCCGGCACCCTGCCGGAGGGGGATCCCATCACCGGAGGCCATATTCATCATCCCGGCGCTATCCATGACGAGGAGGGAGTAGTTCACCCTCGGGGCTGAGGGTATGTACCAGTAGCTATGTGTTTGATCTCTCTCTCTCTCTCGTGTTCTCTCTTGTGTTCCCTCTATGGCACGATCTTGATGTATCCCGAGCTTTGCTATTGTAGTTGAATCTTATGATGTTTTCCCCCCTCTACTCTCTTGTGATAAATTGAGTTTCCCCTTTGAAGTTATCTTATCGGATTGAGTCTTTTATGAGAACACTTGACATATGTCTTGTCGTGATTATCTGTGGTGACTATGGGATATCATGTACCACTTGATGTATGTTTTGTTGATTAACTTGCGGGTTTCGTGACATTGGGAACCTATGCATAGGGGTTGGCACACGTTCTTGACTCTCCGGTAGTAGCTTTGGGGCACTCTTTGAAGTACTTTTACGTTGGTTGGATGAATCTGAGATTGTGTGATGCATATCGTATAATCATGCCTGCGGATACTTGAGGTGACAATGGAGTATCTAGGTGACATAAGGGTTTTGGTTGATTTGTGTCTTGAGGTGTTATTCTAGTATGAACTCTATGATGGATTGAGCGGAAAGAATAGCTTATGTTATTTTACTACGAACTCTTGAATAGATAGAACAGAAATGATAACTTTGAGGTGGTTTCGTACCCTACCATAATCTCTACATTTGTTCTCCACTATTAGTGGCTTTCGAGTGACTCTTTGTTGCATGTCGAGGGCTTATTATATGATCTATCTATGTTATTATTGTTGAGAGAACTTGCACTAGTGAAAGTATGAACCCTAGGCCTTGTTTCCTATCATTGCAATACCATTTACGCTCACTTTTATCGCTTGCTACCTTGCTGTTTTTATAATTTCAGATTACAAAAACCTTTATCTACTATCTATTTTGCACTTGTATCACCATCTCTTCGCCGAACTAGTGCACCTATACAATTTACCATTGTATTGGGTGTGTTGGGGACACAAGAGACTCTTTGTTATTTGGTTGCATGGCTGTTTGAGAGAGATCATCTTCATCCTACGCCTCCTACAGATTGATAAACCTTAGGTCATCCACTTGAGGGAAATTTGCTACTGTCCTACAAACATGTGCACTTGCAGCCCCAACAACGTCTACAAGAAGAAGGTTGTGTAGTAGACATCAGAGCCTATATGGGACAAGGATCACGCGGAGCGTGCCAAGCAAGGCCTACCGCCCCGCTTCGAGAAATACCATGACAAGCAGACCAGGAACTTTGTCAGGACCCGGTACAAGGAGGACCCGGTAACAAAGGAGCTTACCACGGATCCGAAGACGAAGGCACTTGAGCTTGTTCTGGTAAGGAATACACCCCCGCGTAATTAGCTCCATATGGTTGCATTCTAATTAATGAAGCAAAATTTCTAAATGGTTCACATTCCTTCCACAGGAGAATGAAAGCAGTAGCGCGGGGTCGTCTCAGAGCTCCCCTGCTTGGGACAGCACTCTAAATAGGGCGTTGAACGTAATGAAAAACAAGGATAAGCTCAGTAATCCATCGTCAGCTGGTCATATGGCCGGCAAAGGCTTGTCAACAAAATGGTCATCATACTATACCGCTGGTGGGCGAAAGGAGAGAAAGACCAGCTAGGAAAGCCAGTCGCGCGAGTTTCAAGAACTCAAGGCACAAGTGGCGCGGATTCCGGAGATTATCCAAGAGCAAGTGAAACAACAACTAGGAACGACGCTCACCGCCATGGTGCCTACCTTTATTCAGGGGCACATGACGTGGATTGCAGGCAGCCAACAGGGGCTGCCCCTGATTCCCCGCTTCACGGCTAGCAACTCGCACAACACGCAGGCGGCGCCATTGGTGTCTCCGGCGGAGGCGGTATTCGTGTCTCCGGCATCGGCACAGGCATTGGATCTTAATGCACCCGGCTGGTGTACGCCGGCCGGCACCTCGCCAGCAAGCGGCCCCGCCGTCAGTTGCACGCCCACCGTTGGCGGTGCCTCGACATTAGCCGAGCTCGACGGCATCATGGTAACTAAGCCTCTCGGCCGATGACTTCATCTCCTTGCCTTTGACTGGGCATCCCTGACGCCCTACATGTTTTCGCAGGGCGCCGCCGACGTTCCATGCACTCTCCTGCACTTCGTGGGCGGTGAGTTGATCAATGTCGCCAAGGGCAGAATCGTTCAACCGGGCAACCCCGTGTTCCACGGTAATTCGATGCCACCCACGGTGTATAGGGTTGAACTCGTTCGGGTGCTGCCAGGCTATGACGAGTTGTTACCTCCGATTAGACCCGCTGGGGACGACGAAGATGATGAGATGACCATCAACGCCTGCGTAAGCTGGCCCCTGCTTTGGCCGAAGAGCCAAATTCGTTTGCGGGCGGGGGACAACACCCCACAGACAAGGCCGCCAGTCGTGCCGGCGCCAAGCCATGGCAAGAACGCCTCAACGCTACCGGACATGCCGGACATCCCTATGGCACAGGATCTGGACATGCATATGGCACAGGATCCGGACGACGACGACAACGACGATGGTACATTTACCAACGTCGATAAGTACTTTGCCGAACATGGGTACGGTGACGAATTCTGCGGGTCTCCTTCTTAAGAACCCAACCCTGAAAAAGACGACCGCTATCTAGCTGGTACTGCGAAGAAACCTAATTGCAACAGGCGTCGTCTGGTGTTCAGTTCTCAGGAGACGCCTCTAGCTGCCGCCTTCACCAAGCCTCAGATAGCCGATGTGCGAAATATTATCAGCCCCAACACGCTCAAGAAGGCGGTCTGTGAGCAGAACTCGATCCCATTACAGCAGATCAAGAAGAAGGGACGGAAATGAAAGACTAACAAGGGCGCCGGTGTGAGCCAGCTGGCACCAAGTATGATCCATGCTCAGGACGGGCCACCTTCGCCTAAGGATATCTCGAGGAGGGTGCATGTGGCGGGTAGGGCGATGCTACCGACAAATATGCTCAATGCTGCAACCGGTGCTATGCGGAGTCTACATGACAATGTTCTTTCTTTGGAGAAGCAGTGTCTCTACCATAATGATGTGGCATACCCGGTTTTCATGGCCAAGGTGCCAGAGGGCAAGGGCTTTGTGGATAGCGCCATCGGGGGTACGATCGTCCTGCGGTTTGATGACATCTTTTCGATGTTTAACCTTTATCCGCTGCACTACACCTTCATTCGGCTGTTTTTGCTGAGTATGGAGATGCAGATCATTTGAGACAAGACCCGGACATCGTGATAGTCGACCCCTTCTACATGTGTGCCAAGATCTTGGGCAGCGCTGGGGACCGGCAAGTCACGAGTTCACACCTCGAAGGCGTCATTCTGGCAAACCCAGATAAGGATAACTTCCTCGTGCCTTACTTTCCTGAGTAAGTCATCCCCTCACCGCCCCGTAACATATGATTTCTTAGATTTCGATCTTTTTTTTCTAACATTCCGTGTTTTGTGCAATGACACACATTGCACACTCATCCTCTTAAGCCCGAAATATTCCTTGGCCACGTATTTTGACCCGGACCGTGAGTCGAAGATAGACTACACAAATATGAAGAAAGTTCTTGATGATGCTCTTCCCGGCTACGCCAGATCTGGAGGCACCTTCAAGAAGCCAGTTCGTAGGTACGGCAAGCACGTGTTCACCCACAATACGACGTTCGCCTGCGTCAAGCAGCCGCCTTGCGGTGAGAAGGATGCCTACTATGCCCTCCATCACATGCGGGCGATCATACGGGACCATAATCACCTTCTGCTACCAGACAATCTCAAAGATTGGGCCACTAGCTTGTCGGCAATCCAGGACGCGGACATTAGACAAGAATTCTTTCGCATCCAGTCGGAGTTTGCGGAAATCATGTATCAAGATGTCCTTCGTACCTCGGGGCAGTTCTACCTCAGATCTCAACTGTCCAACAGTGAGATTGAAATGACGCTACAAATGCAGGCTGACAACACCCGCGATTTCATGACCATCACGAAAGACGCCGGCTTCATCCACGCTCTGGTCCCCTGAGTCGGTCGAGTCGAAAGTAGTGATGCTATCTAAAATGTCGATTGACTCATGTTGTAATATTAAACTTTAATGAACTTGTATGTCTCTTTGGTTTGGACAGTCGTTCAACTTATATATAATCGATGCTATTTATTAGTGGGACCATGAATCGTGTTGTTATAGTTGCAATATTAAACTTTAATGAACTTGTATATCTCTGTGAATTGCTACTAACGTTTTGTTTGGTTAGTGCATAGAGATGCCGTCGTATGTCGTGTACAAGGGTAAGGTTCCCGGAGTCTAGGACGACTGGGAGGAGTGTCGGAGACAGGTTCACCGTTTTAGCGGTAACAGTTATAAAGGGTAAACCACTAGGGCGGAGGCCGAAGTTAGATACGCGCGGTATCTAGCGGGAGAGAGGAGGGAGCGTTGGAGGAACCGGATGAAGACCAGTTTCATCGCGATTATGCTCATCGTGATGACCGCGGCTCTCTTCATGTGATGGTAGTTTAGACTATGTCTGATTTCGTGCCGTGTGCGCACACTGGCAGTCCAGCACCGTCGCACCGCGGGGGCATGGCATCGTCGACCCATGCTTCCACCCCAAGAGGTGGTTCTTGCTGCCCGAGGGTCACGGCCTTCACCCTGCTTACTGCAAGAAATGTTTCTTCAATCTCTCCACAGGAGTTTTCGTCTGTGTCTAGCTCCCCTTCTTAAGCGATAGTAGCTATGTCCTTGACTCGGCCGATGGCCTCCTCCTCTTGCAACGGAAAAGCCAAGTCACTTCCGCGATCAGGGTCATCCACACTTTCACCGGCGACTTTGTGGAGCAACCACTGCTGATGTCCCTTGTAAGAACCAACTTGGACATGTCCGATGGCACGGGACGGGTTGATTTCCGTAGTGTCACTTCCATTAGCGTCAGTGTTGATGGGGTCGTCGCAGTCATGATCAAGCTTTACAATATATCACGTGTATTCTTTGCTACTACTAAGGACCAGCAGTGGAGTGTCTCGACTTGGAATATCGGATGGTACTCCGAGAGAATATCATCCCAAGGGAAATTCTTTGTGTTGGATTCTCCCACCACATATGGCCGTCAACAACATATTCTCCTGATCGATCCACCCCGCCTTGATCATCACGCCCTGTCATCTTATTTGTTGCCACCAAGGTTGATTGCCACGTGTCCCACCGGCAAAATTTCTGGCATGTTCTACATGGAAGAATGTGTCTCGGAGATCCTAGTGATTGGTCACGACGCTAACCCACTTTTCAAGGGCCACATGCTCGTCTAGAAAGTAGCCGATCTTATCATGGGCAAGGTTGTCTCAGTAACAAGCATCGGAGGTAATACTCTCTTCACTACTATTGACCATGGAATTAGCATCGACGATGATGATATCTTTGTTTATGTGAGGGAGACTATTGTTGTGAGTTACAAGGCCATACCTATTGCTGTGGGTGACACCATTGTACGTCGTCGACGTCTCAAGGATAATTGTCCTTTGTACTACGACCTCTCTAGCGGCGAATGGTCCCAAGGACCGGCCATGGGGTGTGCTGATGGTTGCCATGATTGCACCCGTGGCCTTGTTTATCATATCTACAATTGTTGTCATTGTGGTGACTTGCGTGCGAGCAAGTTGGTACACCTAAGTTTCTAAAGCAGATTCATCCTAGAAAGATGGAATGTGTAAAACAGCGATTGCTGTTAATGAGATTACTTGGGTATTTTGTATATACCTCCTTCGGTTTGTCCTGCAGTTTCAACACATGATGTCTTTTGACACCAAGCAGAAGCATATGATTCCTAATCTTTGACCTGTTATGCATGTATTTGTGTGTGTTCCTGCTATCTTATAGAACTATTTATATTCAGGTTAGCTATTTCACATCTAGATGTGAAATAGTATCTCACATCTAATTTTTAAGCCGTTTGATAAAAACTTTAGGATTCGTGTTCTCGTTCAATGCTTTTGTCTCGTCGCGCGCGTTTCGGTAGGCAGCTGCGATCGCTCTTTTTCCTTTTTTTTATTGAGATCAACCCTGCGCTCGCTCATATGGGCTGAGGTATCTTTTTTGTTTTTTACAGGCTGTAGTCTTGTCATGTTACTATATGGGGTGGTGCGTGGTGTGTTCTTTTCTTTTCTTTTTCTTTTTCTTTTTTCTGTTTCATTATTTGTTTTAACTTATGAACTATTTTAATTCATGATTTTTTGTATTTTATTTACATTTTTTTATTTTTTTTCTCTTTTTTATTTTTTGTTTTAAATTCATGATTTTTTCCCACTCTGCCATCTGTTTGCTCTAAATATCATGCAAATCTTGATAGCAGGTTGATTGTCGCGCGTGTCCCATATCGCGTCGTGTGTGTGGTGTCTACTTGTGGGTCCACTTGCTTATGCGCCTTCCTTGTCCGTTTCACGATGTGATTTGAGGTTCCGTCTCCCATTGGTTTTGGTAATTATCATCTAGATGAGAATTAAACAATGTCTCATCTAACTCATATACTGTTAAATATATATGTGCTTATGAGTCGTGCTCGTTATTTGTGTATCGTGTTTTCTGTTCGTCCCCGTGAAGCAGTAAGTCCCGATATAGTTTTTTTAGTGGGCCATTTTTATATTCATATATTGGGCTCATTTTGTAGGTTGTAGTTTTTGGTGGAGGGTCACATGTCTTTCCAGTCCCTATTTTTGTTTATTTTACGTTTGACTGTGTAGCTAGGGGAGAGCGTTACTATAGTTTTTTCTGGATTTGCTAAATTTCATATAGATGAGATTTAGTGATGTCTCATCTAAGTCTATAAACATCTGATTTGTTTGCTTTAATGTTCGCACAAACTTGACCATGTGTGCCCGGCTTGTCCTGTTTTGTCGTGTATGCCCCGTTTTTGTTTTGTGATGGTCTGTTCTTGTGTTTCTTTTCACATGGGCT